AATCTTGTGACACATTAGGTTACAAGTGGTTTAGGAGGAAACGAAATTCAAATTCAAGAACTATTGGTTGTCAAGCAAAGATTATATTTGAATCTGTGTATGGAACTCCAGATTATAAAGTTTTTCAGTTTGATGAACTTCACTACCATCCACTTGAGAAGAGAAGTGATTTAAAAAAATCGAGACAAATGTCATCTTCAGAAAAAGAGTTTATTGTGCGTGCTTCCACATCAAAAATAGGTCAAACTATGGCTCATAAGTTGAGGGTAAGTCTGAGATGTGGGTATGAGTTTGTAAAGCCCAAAGTAGTTGACTATAAAAATTTAAGGAGAGATATCAACATGGTTATTGGTTATAAAGATGCCCAAATGATAGTAAACACAATGAAAGACCATCGAGCTCAGTATCCAAATTATTCATTTGAGTTTAATTGTCAAGATGATGTTTTGGGCTATATGTTTTGGGCTGATGAAATGGAGAATGCATATTATGCTGAATTTGGTGATGTTATCTCGTTTGATGCAACTTTCCGAACAAACAAGTAAGTTATTTTATCTACTTTTGTTTATAGCTTATTTATATATGAATATTTTTATGTTCACTTATTAATACATCAAAAATTTACTTTCATGAACATTTTTTTGTGTGTTAGGTATCGAATGGTTTTTGTTCCGTTTACTGCTATTGACCATCATAAAAAAAATCGGTTACTATTGGATCTGGGTTACTAAGCAATGAAAGCATTGAGTCTTACTCTTGGTTTCTTAAAGCATTTCTTAAAACTCATGGGAAAGAACCAACATTTGATTTAACCGATCAAGATGCTGCAATAAAGCACGCTATTGAGAATGTGTTTCGTAATTCAAAACATCGATTATGGATGTGGCATATAATGAAAAAGTTGAAAAAAGGTATTATTTTAATATATTTCAAATATATTACTTATTAATATATTCATTTATGAATATTGATTGTTATTTTACTTATTATTATTTATTCATTTATGAATATTTTTGTTTTAATACAGATATCAGATGATTTTTTATTTATGAACACAGACTTTAGAAAAAAGTTTCCGAAGCTTGTTTGTGAGATTAATATGAAACCTGATGTTTTTGAGGTGAAGTGGGGTTTGATTATGAAGGAATTCAATCTTGAAGACACAAGATGGTTTAAAGACATGTTTACAATACGTGATTCATGGATACCTCGATATTTAGTGATATTCCAATGTGTTGTTTGATGAAGACTATATCGAGGTCAGAGAGTATGAATTCATTCTTTAATAGATACTCAGAAAGTGGGAACTTACTTTTGAATTTCATGATGAATTACGACACTGCCATTCAAAAGCAAAGGAATACTCAAGGAGAGCTTGATAAGGCATCAAAGAAAGCATCATATAAAATGCAAACACCTCGAGAAATAGAACTGCAAGCATCAAAGGTTTATACAAGTACATTATTTTTTGAGGTGCAAAAAGAAATATATAAAACATGTTTTTCTGTACATACTCATATGTTGGTAATGAAGATGGTTGGGAAGTTTACATTATGCAGCACAACAATAGTAAAAGTGAATTTAAAAATGAATTTAAGGTAATTTTACTAGTTTTTTTTTATGAATATCAGAATATTCATATATGAATATCAGAATATTCATATATGAATATCAATATTCATATATGAATATCAATATTCATATATGAATATATGAATATTATATAAATATATGAGTATTGATATGAGTATTCTTATATGAATGTAAATGTGTAAATTTTGTTTTTGTATCAACTTGAAATAAAAGCTGAAGAGAAAGAAATAAACTGCAGTTGTGAACATTTTAAGCATATAGGTGTTTTATGCAGACATGATTTTACAATAATGATGAGATGTGGTGTTAAATAAATTCTTGAAAGTTACATTTTTGAAAAGATATAGAAAGGATGTGATATCAAGAAATTATCGTTTTAGTTCTGTTAACTACGATTCAGGTGATTGTAAGAATGTAAAGCTAGTCAATGATTCATATTATAGTGTTGAATCATGTTTGGATATTTTAAGAGATGACAAAAAGAGATTGACATTATTTGCTGAGAAACAACAAATGTTGTTGAAGGAATTTGAGAGTGATTATATTACTCCTGGATTGAAAAGCAAGACATATGGTTAAGTCGTATGTAAGCTTTTAGGTGTTACTATTTCTATTCCAGAAGATATTAATATTCATGTTCCTGAAGTTTAAAGCAATAAAGGTTCTGGAATCAAGAAAAGAATTCCAAGTGTAGGTGAAGTAGCATATGAAAATTCTAAAAAAGAACATAGAATGTGTTCAGGATGTGGAAAACGAGTTCCACACAATTTACGTACTTGTCCAGAAAGAGTTGGAGCTTCTAAATCAGCAAAAGACAGTTAGGGATTTTTTTTTTTAATATTTTTTTGGTTTTATTCATTTATGAATATATGCAGATAAAAACAATAAACAATAATATTCATGTATGAATAATACACATTTATATTGATATGGTAAATTGATATGTTGATATTTATTTTTTAAATTACTATAAAATAAGTTATATTGATATTGTAAGTTATTCATGAATGAATACAAATATGTGAAATTTGTTATACTAATAAATAAGTAATATTCATATCTGAACATTTTTATTTTAACATCTGAACTTTGTTATAATAACATATTACTTGGAACTTATTCATAAATAAATATATCATATTCATATTCATTTATGAATAAATAAAAATAAACTTTGAAAATATTTGAATATAAAAACATGACATAAATAAGCAAACTTGTTTCTACTAATAGGTTAGTTGTATTTATATCTGAAATTTGTTATATTCATATATGAACTTTGTTATACTGACATATTACTCTTAATTTAATCATAAATTAATATATCATATTCGTATTCATTTATGAATAAACATAAATAAACTTTGAAAATATTTAAATATAAAAACCTGACAGAAATAAGCGAAGTTGTTTTTATTACATAATCATTCAACACAAGATAATAAAAGTTGTTCATAAGCATTTAACAAAATATTAAAACGAACATTTAACAAACCATCTAAAATTTGTTTCGCATAATCATCTTACATGTACTTCAAATCCATTCGTCTTCAACACAAACTGTTCTATAGCATCACACTTCATCACAAGCAATCATCAATATTCTTTTAACATTTTTTGAATTGTTTGCATAGCCTTGTACTCATGATCAATACGCACTTTGAATTCAAGTTTTTTATATTTTTCAGCAAGATTCAACACCTTAGCCTTCAACATGTTAATTTCAAAAGTTAGCATTATGTGTGCATACCTTTGCCTGAGCTTCTCTAAAGTAGTTTGTTGAATTGCACTTTCTTTAGGAAAGCCTGGTTTTCACTTTGAGAGTGGTTATCCCATATAGGTCTCCATATGTCTCGTTGCAAAGATTCCACAATCAATTTTGTTTTTAACTGTTCTCTATGTCATTTTAAGTCATTGGGTTTGATACTTTCTTTTGAGATTGCATTTGCTCTTAGATGGTTTATTTCTTTAAAGTATATCACAAACAATTTTTTCTGATCGTTAAATAAAATAAAAGTTAGATATGAAATATATTGGTTCTTTTATGTTGTTGTGAATTGGGTACATACCAAAGGTTTCAATAGTACTCCGTATTTCCCTTCATAATCCCCCTCAACTGCATTGTTGTCCAGAATTTTAATTGATGGTTTTTATAAGTTGAAGACAATCACAAAAATGTGAGCATTTTTAACAACTAGAAAGAATACCTGTTTTATGTATATAATGGTAAGTATTTTGTTGATAAATTATATATAAAAAACAAGTTTAATTAACATACCATGTCAATATCTTTTATGTTCAATATTTTTTTGTACCCATTGGTACTGTCATGAATGTTCTCCTTGAATTTTTCATACTTTATTTCATCGGACAATGTTGAAGTTAGATAACCAGTCTGTAACAAATATAATCATATGTGAATTTCAATTGAATATATATAATTATATTAAAGAATACATCATATTTTGTATAATCATATGTGAAATTTCAGTTGTAAAAAAATATAATATTCATAAATGAATACATCATATTGGTGTATTCATTTATCAATAAGGAAGTAATTAAGGTTAGAACATAAACTTACAGAAACTCCAACTTTCAAGAAGAGTCTATATGGTGAATTTCCAAAATCCATTTCCAGTTCTTGGTGGTTAAGTAAATCAGACCAAGCGTCTAAAACTTCTCCAAAAATCTCTGTGTTTGCATATAGACTTTTGATAACTGCTCTTTCTATTATATGACCATATTTTGTTTGGACAACCACATCTCTGCAAATATATAATCAAATTGTCATAGATTATTATCTATATAATAATCATATATGAATGTATATAAACTAAAGTTACTTACGATATATTGCCTTGTAAGCTGAGCAACCATTCACAAATAATACTCTCCCGATGTGTCAGTTTGGGTTTTGTGTCTATTATTCTGCATTTGAAAGCATCAGCAAGCTTCTTCTCTCTTGGTTGATCTAGATCATGCTTTGATGGTCCTACTTCAGTAGGAATTGATACAGAGATTGGATTTAGACTAAGAACATTTTTCTTTGCTTATCTGATAACAACCTTCTGATAGTCGTCTTTCATTTGTTTCTTTGTAAGCGGTTTTTTTGGTGAAGATTCATTAGATTTTTTACTTGAGGTTTGATCTGAATCTTGACTAAGACCTAGACTAAAGCTTGGATCAGTATCTGCATGCCTGGAGATTTATCATATAAATAGTGGTAAGTTAATTAAAATATTTGAGTTTATATTTTGAAATGGTTATCCAAATTGTTACCTCATTTTTTTCCTTTTGTCTTGTCAGCTTTTTCTCCTTTCTTGTTTTCATTTTCTGACTTTTTCTTTCCTGGAAGATAAAGAACTTTGATTACGTAATTCATATGTGAATAAGTAATGTATTCATTTATGAATAAGTAATGCATGTCATTATTTTTGAATAAGAAATATTAAAATTTTATTTTTTTTGTATATTGCGTTATTTATTTGTGAATAATAAAACTTATTATATTCATTTATTAGTGATTCAACTATTTACCTTTATCTTCTGCATTTCCTTTCTCGGTTTCTGTATGTTTATCTTCACCTCCGTCTTTCGTGTTCTTAGTTTCTATTCCTCCTTTATTTCTATCTTTAGATTTTTCCTTGTCTGAAACATATACATCACATATGAATATTTTTTATTTTTTACTCATTTATATACTATATTATTCACTTCTTATAAACAATGTTATTAAAAAAACCAATATAAATATTGTAATATATTTAAATCATTCATTTACCTGTATCTTCTCCTTTCGTTTTTTCAACTTTTGTTCCTTGTTCATGTACATCTTATGATTTTTCCTTTTCTACAAGAGTATTAGTTTTACATGTGCTCCTTGGTGACCTTGGTCAAAACTTAATAAACAAAATTGTTATTGAGTATTAATATATATATATATATATATATATATATATATATATATATATATATAGATATATTTAAAATAAAAGTAAGACAAAATTTACCTATATCAATATTATCCAAAATAGTTTTCATTTCAGGGTCATTCAAGATTTCATCTTCTTGACTATTTAAATTTGAAATTCGAATTCCAAGGACATTGTCCACAATGTTGTCAACAACTTTATCCAACAAATTTTCATTTTGAGTTTGTTGTATAGTCTCTTCATGATTATTTGTTTCTTCATTATCATCAACTTTTTTCTCTTCATCATTGTCATATTGATTGTTCTTTCCATCTTTCTCTTTTACTTCAGTTTCACCTTCTTTTTTATTATTATGTCCATCATTACTTATTCTTTCATTCTCTGCTTCATTTGAATCAAGAAAATAATCTTCTTCTGGTTGACTTCCATCATTATCATTGTCTTCTTCACCATTTCCCTCTTTATCTTCATTTTCTTTTTGATCATTTGTTTTTTGACCGATTATTGGTGTCAAATTGATTCCTTCAAATCCAGTTTGATTACTTGGAAATTTAAAAATAGTTGTGCCTTCTGTTTTTTCTTCACCAATTATATTTGTCATCTTTTCGTCGAAAATCGTAAAACTTTCCTTTTCAGGGAACTTTGTTATCGCATCATTGAGCTTTAAATTCAGCTTTTCCTTCATCCTCTCGAAACTATTAAGCATTTTAGATATTTTTTATTCATATGCCTATGTAATAAAAAGAAGTATGATTAGAATTAATGTAATCATATATTATTAACATGTTCAAACTAATTACCTCAACAGAATGATCTTTATCTTTATCAGAATCACTGTCTTCGAGATCTGTATCTCCTTCATCTTATTCATTAACAAATTCTTCATTTAATTCTCCAAGTCCAAATATACCTTTTTCTTGTTCGAATGTCTCTTGATATCTAATCTTCTCCAAACTCCAATAACAAATTGTTGAACGTTTAGGTGTTACTGTTAAAGCTTCTGAGTGGATGTTATCAGCATAGAACAACTTCACATAAATGATAACTAATTGATATTCATATATGAACAAGTAATATTATTTTTTACTTATTCATATATGAATAAGTAATGTAAAGCATTACGCGTGAACAAATAGATTTTTCTTATTCATATATGAACATTTGCTATTAGTTTATGAATAATCAATATTATTAAAAATTGAGTATAAACATTATAATAATTTACCACCAAGAAAGCTGAAGCTCCAACAAAGAAGTTGGTATCTGAGTATGGTATGTATGAGTTTTTTGTTCTGACAAGACAGTACAAAACATAGTTGCACCAATCTATGTTGCTGATAACTGTTTTTCTAGAAATATAACTCAAGGGAAACAAGTTGCATCTTCCCATTGATGTTGACTCGCAAAACGTGTTAACAAAAAGAACTAAGAAGTTCACTTTGAAATTGAAATCAACTTGTGTGGTAGAAACAATAACATTTTTGATTGCACTCAGTAGGATGATTGAATCTTTTTTAAATTGTTTCTTCCATTCATCATAACTTGTATCATCCTTAGGCCATTGATCCAGTTGTCTAAGTTTGGTTCCACTAATTGGTATGTCCAACATGTCATGAACAAACGCTACTGTTACTTTCAGTTCCTTTCCTTCAATATCTACCACCATTCTCTCAAAATCAAAATTTTGAAGAACATAAAATCCCAGCTTCAGTGGTATATTTGTGATTTTCATTTTTAATAAAACTCCAAAACCCATAGATCTTACAGATTCTTTTTGTTCTGTGCTCATCCCAAGGATTATAGATAGTAATGCCTCTTGTGAACATCTGTTTTTCATTGAGTAAAATTCTTTTACCATTGTTTTTTTTTGATTGGCAAGTCCTTTTTTTTTTGCCTTCTTCGATGGATGACTACTTTCAAAATCATAGTTTGAATCTTGTAGTTGTTATTTTTCAGGAGTTTTCCTTTTTGATGAAGTTTTTCTGCTTTGATGCTTTATTTTCTTTAGTACTTTTGTTTCTTTTTTATCTGGGAAATGAAAACATATAATATTTGAATAAGCTACTAATATATGAATATGATATATGCTCGTTGATTTATTAATATTTATTTATTACAAAAGTATAACTAATATATACAATTTTATTCATATATGAATATATTAGATATGATAGTAATTTTGTACCTTTCACATTTTTCGTCTTCAAATCTGTGTCTATCATAGTTGTTGGGGCTTTATCAGAAATACAAATCTTCTTACCTTCATGGAAGAGTGAGTAGAAGATAAATAATTTTGAAATACATTTTCAAACAAAATATATTATATTCATAAATAAAAATAGAATATTCATTTATAAGATATGATATGTATTTTATACTCTTTTGATTTTTCTACATTGATCTGGTTTCTCTCATTGTTGGTGAATCTTTAACGAAAAGGTTAGTGTTCTTACATTCATTCAATAGTAAGTAGAAGATAAATGAGTTTGATATTCACGAATGAATATTTGAATAAAACATATGTATTCATATTTTTTTATTCACATATGAATATATTTTGTTAGATTCATATGTGAATAGAACATATATAAGTCATTCTTGTTGTATCCACATTTGAATAATGTATGTACGACAACAACTTATGTTCTATTCATAGATGGATATAACATACATATTCATGAATGAATATTTGAATAAAACATATGTATTCATATTTTTTTTTTATTCTCATATGCATATTTGTTTGTCATATTCACAGTTGAATAATGTATGTATGGCAGCAAGTTATGTTCTATTCATATGTGAATATAACATATATATATTCACGAATGAATATTTGAATAAAACATATGTAATCATATTTCTTTTATTCTCATATTAATATGTTTTGTTATATTCATATATGAATAGAGCATATATAAGTCATTGTTGTTGTATTCACATTTGAATAATCTATGTATAGGAGCAAGTTATGCTCTATTCATATGTGAATATCACATACATATTCATGAATAAATATTTGAATAAAACATATGTATTCATATTTTTTTATTCTCATATGAATATGTTTTGTTTTATTCACATGTGAACAGAACATATATAAGTCATTCTTATTGTATTCACATTTGAATAATGTATGAATGGCAGCAAGTTATGTTCTATTTATATATGAATATAACATACATATTCACAAACGAGTATTGGAATAAAACAATGTATTCATATTTTTTTATTCTCATATGAATATGTTTTGTTATATTCATATGTGAATAGAACATATATAAGTAATTCTTGTTGTATTCACATTTGAATAACTTATGTATGGCAGAAAGTTATGTTCTATTCATATGTGAATATAACATACATATTCATGAATAAATATTTGAATAAAACATACGTATTCATACTTTTTTTATTCTCATATGAATATGTTTTATTATATTTATATGTGAATAGAGCATATATAAATCATTCTTGTTCTATTAACATTTGAATAATATATGTATGGCAGCATGTTATGCTCTATTCATATGTAAATATAACATACGTATTCAAGAATGAATATTTGAATAAAACATATGTATTCATATTTTTTTGTTCTCGTATGAATATATTTTATTATATTTTTTATTTGAATAGAACATATATAACTTATTGTTGTTCTATTAACATTTGAATAATGTATGTATGACAGCAAGTTATGTTCTATTCATAGGTGAATATAACATACGTATTCACGAATGAATATTTGAATAAAACATATGTATTCATATTTTTTTTATTCTCATATGAATATATTTTATTATATTTTTATGTGAATAGAACATATATATCTCATTGTTGTTCTATTAACATTTGAATAATGCATGTATGCCAGCAAGTTATGTTCTATTCATATGTGAATATAACATACGTATTCACGAATGAATATTTGAATAAAACATATGTATTCATATTTTTTTTATTCTCATATTAAAATGTTTTGTTATATTCATATGTGAATAGAACATATATAAGTCATTTTTGTTGTATTCACATTTGAATAATGTATGTATGGCAGCAAGTGATGTTCTATTCATATGTGAATATAACATACATATTCACGAATGAAGATTTGAATAAAACATATGTATTCATATTTTTTTATTCTCATATGAATATGTTTTGTTATATTCACATTTGAATAATGTATGTATGGCAGCAAGTGATGTTCTATTTACATGTGAATATAACATACCTATTCATGAATGGATATATACTTGAATAGAACATATGTATTCATATTTTTTTATTCTCATATGAATATGTTTTGTTATATTCATATGTGAATAGAACATATATAATTCATTCTTGTTGTATTCACATTTGAATAATGTATGTATGGCAACAAGTTATGTTCTATTCATATGTGAATGTAACATACATATTCACGAATGAATATGAGTTTTTCTTGTTTTCAGAAGTAAACAAAACATATTTTATTTACCTGTTTGATTTGTTCTTGTTTTTCTTTTATATGTATTCTTCACCATTGGTGTTGTTTCTGTAAGGGTAAGTAGCGGATATTAGGAAAACATAAGCGAAATGTGAAGTAACGTTTGTATTTTGACAGAATAGTTTTGAATAAAGATGAAAAATGAATAGATGATGTAAAATCATTTATATATCAACTAATAATGAATGATTGTTACAAAAATTTTAAGTAAATAAAGTAATAACGAATGAGAGTTACGAGAATGAACGAGTATCATAAAAAATTGAAGTAAACAACCTTTTTTTGAAGAATGAACAATGTGAAAACAATGTTTTTAGTTCTAAATCAACTAATAATTATCGAAGATTACGAGAAATTTCAAGTAATCAAGTGATAATTTTAGAAATGATTCGAAATCGTTAAAAACTTGAGAAAAAACGCCGATGGTTACCTTTCATTATCAAGAGTGAGGAAATGTTATTGTTCATGTTTTCATCAGAAGACATTTTTCTTCGTTTATGCTATTTGATGCTTCTACAAGTGGTTTTTTTTCTTATCGATTCTTCTGCAAATGGTTGTCGTGTTATTGTGTATCGAAGAGGGAAATGGTGATTTTCTATCGAGATTTGATGTGTTACCAAATTATTCAAGTGCCCTGGCGGTTTAATGTTTTTGGATTATTTATAAATTTGCCACCGCTCATTAATGTATTTGGATTATTTACAAGTTTGCCAACGTGCGTTTTTTAAGCTCATTAAATGATTAGTTGAGAATGGTTCCCCCATTCTTAACCTTTTTTTTTCTCAATTGAACCCTCCTATATATATATATATATATATATATGTCTTAAAATTTCAGTAATTATTTATGAAGTTACACTACTATGTGTTTTTTTTGTTTTGTGTATTCATATTATCTAATTTTGTTATATATTTCAATCAACTTATAATTTTATCTTATGATCTTGACATATATAATTTCCTTAAAAATATTTCTACATGAATTACCAAATCCGAGTACTCCCCCGGTACTCTTGAGTACTCTCGAATACTCGCTACTCAGTAGTCGGCCGAACAGGTACCGAGTAACGAGTTCTATAACCTTGTCTATAAGTAAACATTCTATACTCATTTGGTAAATATTCAAAAGTACTTTGTAAGAACAATTATCAGAGTACAATCACAAAATCATCATAATGCTGAAACATAGGT